GGCACTGTTATAAGGGAGTTTCCCAAGGCTGAACACTGAACGTCAAAGATCAAGGACCAAATCAGATGCACAGATAAGATCCCATCTTGTTCGATTCTTAATCTACCTACTGAGTCCTGATGCCTCATCAAAGTGTCTTTTTTCCTTTAAATGATTTCCAAACTAATTTTGCGGTCATTACATAAATATCCTGCCATTCCAGATTTGTGAACAAGTTTCCAAGCAGGGATTAGTGATGCCTCCTAAATACCTGGTGCTATAATTAACAGTCCTCCTACTTGCATCTGCCTAATGACAAGCGTGGCCACCACCACCACACAGGTCCTGCCACAGCCACCAGCTGCTTGGTCTTTTGAGATGTCCTTGGGGAACTGGAGCATCTGCTGCCTGCACAGCAGCACACTCTGCACAGCATGAGACACACACAGGAGCATGCTTAAACGTCAGACACTTTCCCACAGAATTAGCTTTGTTCCCCTTTAAAGAAATAACAAAGAATTGCAGAGAAAGGTGTGGCCAAAGGAAATTATCTGTAATAATGTGCAGGTCACTTGGACCAAAACATTCTTAAAAGGTAAACTTATAAAATGCATGAACACACTCACAGGGCAAATCCACTTGCAGCATTTCTGCTTTACATTAGCGAAGAAATCGCCCAAATTGTTCACACCAACTCGGATAATTCAGCTGCAGCTGCAGTCATCTAATTCAATGGATTAAAAGGCATGAGAGGACATCTTCGTGTAAAAGAGGCCTGGCGTTTATTTAATTTTCCCAGCTCAGGCTGGACTTGAAACAAGAAAAATCTCACTGGGAATCAATTCCTGGAATCCGACAGAGGAGATAGATAGGCTGAAGTGCCAGTCCTTTAACTATCACAAATAATAATTTTAAAAGATAACATTTTTCATGATATATTTGAATCAAGCCACACAAAGCTCACTTGGTTTCGAATTTTTTTTTGGCTTCAAAGCATACACCAAAGTATGAAAGTCTTCACTATGCCATCTGAGTGAAGCTGTCTACTTTGCCTCTTTTTTTGTGAAACATGTGCCAAATTCATAGTTTCCATGGCTTTACCTTAAGCAATGAAGAAACTCAGTCATTTCTTGCTTGTCTCCTGATTTTGTTCGCTAACCATGTTCAAATCAGTCTCTGCTACACCATGGCATGCCTGATGAGTGACAAAACAAAAAAATAGTTACGTCTTGCTATTTGTCCAATCACTATTATGATCTTGATGCAACAAATTTCACCTATTTTTTGGGCTCCCTAATCCTGTTGGGAATGGAAAACCCTTAATGAAGACCTACCCTGTACATATACTTCCATACAAGTGTAAGAGTCTATGATACCACTTTTTTTTAACCCGAAGGTGCCAGCTTTATTCTACCCCTACATTGAAAAATTTCCTGCTGTTTTTATAAGAGTCTCTTAATTTGGGGCTGGCTGGGTGTGAGACGCTATCACTGATTTAATATTTCATGATGTTTTATAATTTCAGAAAGTTCGTTTTCAGTCTAGCACTCGAAATACAGAAAATTTTTCTGGGAAGAACGCTTATAACAAGCCCACAAGATATCAGGTAATAACAGCATGAAAGCAGGAGCAAGGAAGAGATTTGCCAGTGAGCAGCTCTGTTCTGCGAGGATCGTATTTGCTCTCTTGACAGTGGGTGCCCTCCTGTGACCTGTCAAGTTGTCCCTTAACATTGTCATAGGACTGGTATGGGATGCTTCACATTCCTTGCACTTAAAGACAAATGCAGCACACCTATGGAAACACATGGTGTTAATGCTTGTCGTGCTAATTAAGTCCAATCAAGTTTGTTTAATTTGATACAAGAAATATCATTCAAGCTGTAGTTCCCCAGTCTTGCATTGATAGCATTTCATTTTATCATGACACATCATAATCTCTATAGCTTTTACATTAACATTTGCATGTGCTTTCTCTGGCAGTGACTTGTCTTACTGAGCTAAACCTGCAATGTGGTATGGTTCAAAAATACCTGTGATGGCAACGGTGACAGGGGTTACCTTAACCACCCCATGAACTAATACTGTCTGTCTCAGCTGGAGTGTTTGTGCTAGCAGAAGTGTTATTTCTTGGGCAAATGGTGGATTCTGTGTGTGAAAGCTCAAAACAATAAGCAAAATGTCCCCTGTTGGACTTTTTTTTTTTTCATTTTTATATAAATTGAAAAAGAATGAGGATAAGTGAAATGTCTGAAGCTATGAACATTAGAGTTGAGGAAAATAATAGCTCAATGGGACATAACGTGCGGTGGCAGTTCTAGGACTGATTCATCTTCTCTGTTGGCACATCATCCAGCACAGTGGGCTCCTAGGCTGTACAGCAACACCTGTAATAAATTGACATCACTTTTAAAAGGTGTCTAGGCTCTTGTGCAGGGGTTAAAGGTGCATCTGAACAATCTCAGTTTGAAATGACACTCATTCACTTATTGTTAGTTGATTTGGCATCCTCAAAGGCAAAGGAGAGATAATTATGTCTCACTTAGAAAGGCACTTAGGCATTTTTGTTATTTTCCTATAAATTCAAATCCCAGATAACAGAAAGCTGTGTCAACCTCTGCTAGACTCATTCCCTTCTTGTGGCTATTATTTCTAAATGAGACTGCCTAAAGTTTGTGGTAAATTAGACCTTTATCGCCAAGGGAAGTAGGTAAAAAAAGGGAAAGGCAGCTGTGAAAAATAGATGTATTTTCAAAGAAAGTGATAACTACATATTCTTTTGCTTTAATAATGTTCCTACTAGACTTGTCCTCAAATTATGTAAGAAAGCTTTGGTTGCTGCCCAAAGAAATTGTCAAAATAATACGAGAAAAGTGTAATGGTCTTGGTTATCTAAATGTAAAGAACAGCTTGATAATCTGGCTAGTCTGCAACTGTGAAAACCTTTGAAGTCGTGGTTTTCCTCTGACCTGTTTTTTTTAGTGAGATTTATAAAACGATGCCCCTTCAGTCTGTCTATCTCCAGTGTATGTACATAAGCACAGTCCTCTAGAGGGATTAAAAAAACACGCATAACTTATATGTGCAGTAATTTAAAAAGTAGTAAGAACAGGTCAACATGTAGCTGTCATGATCTGAGAATAAATTAGACTAAGAAAAAAACATGAAGCCTTTACCAAACAGTCTTGAGTTGGCACTTTAAGATGGAGCATTGTGTTGGCCTTACAATTTTTTCTTGCTTTCCAAGCTGGCAGCGTGTCTTCCTAAGAACAACATCTTGATCTACAAAACTCCGAAAAGGATTGTCAGGGAAAAAAAAACAAAGAAATAATAGTCTGTACTTTCAAAGGCTCAGAAGTATTTTTCTGTCTTGTTTAGAGAAAGTAACAGAGAGATAGAAAATGAGCAAATTCCTTTTGTTCATTCATGAGCTCTTTTATCACCTAATTTATAGCGTGGATCTGAGATCACTAGTTCCTACTGCTGATTGTGTCCAGTTTTGACTGGGCACATGAGGGTGAAAAGCACTTCCTCCCATTAGTATTGCCCTGGGTTTTATTGGACATGTGCTAAGCAACATCTGCCGTATCCACAAACAGTACATCATCTCTCCTTATTTCAAAAGAAACCTTTCAATTATATATCAGTATTAAGGTCTGTAACAATAAAGGCAGGTGTAAATGAAGGCACGCTAAGATATAAAGACTGAAGTAGAAAGGCACCATGACTCCCAAATTAAAGGAACTGAAGTCCAGCAGGACTAATGAGACCCAAAAAGCCAGCAGTTGAACCAGAAACTGAGCTTAGATCACCTGAGTCCAATTCCAGTGCCTTGGCCACAAATCTGTCCTCTTCTCATTTTCCACTATGCTACAGTCTATAAAAGGTGTTCAGACAGTTGGCAAACAGCAAATACAGAGATTTCTGCATCTGAAAAATCTCAGTTAGAAATGACTTTTCTTTCTTTTTCCTTTTTTTTTCTTTTTTTTTTTTTTGATTCAGGATTTCCCTACCTTTCTGCAAACATTACTTCATTTATGTTTTCTCAGGTGGCAACCCTACCTCCCTCTGGATTCTACTACCTTGGTCATCTTCAACACACCGTACGTGCGCTGTACCTCCTCTCTGTTTTGTTTACCTGATGCACTCGGTTAGCCAGATAACTCTTTGATTCAAAGCATCCCATATGCCATGGCTGACCTATATGGAAATGACTGGATCCTGTTCCCTTTTTTTTTTTTTTTTTGTCATTTACATGCCTTTTACACTGCTATAGTTTATACCTAGATGCTAAGGAAAGAAAAAGAAGTGGGAGTATTAATTCCTTAATTCATGTTTTGAACTCTTTGCAGTGTTTTTCGGTGATTTTTCAAAGCAAAGATGTGATTGTTCAGTGAATAGGTAAGCTTGCATTGCCAAGAGGCTTTTCCTTTACCTATGGCCTCTTGGCCAAGGGCAGGACATTTGTGCATCTGTTCTTATCTGTGCACTTAGCTTTCTCCTGTTTGCAGAAGATGTGGAAAGCCCTGAGGCACAGAAACATTGGTCAAACTTATTACTCTTTCAAAGGGAAGATGAGGGAAGATGCCATTTAATACTGCCTCTTTCTGGAAGTGCTAGAGTCAAACAGGAAACAGGGCAAAAGACTCTCCTAATTTGCTCTGTTTCAAGAAACTGCCCCCAAGCAAGATAGCTTGTCCTTCTGTATCAGCCTCAAGCCTTCCAAGACAGACTTGAAGTTATCAAGCACTTGGGTGACCAAAGAAGTTATGTCTGAAAAATAGTTTCAGGTATATTTGTTTGGAAACGTATATTGTCCCTGTGAGAGCAATTACTTTTTCCCTTTATCACAGTAAAGATTGTTTCCCCATTTGTGATATTCATTTTAATAGCAAAGAACTGGAAATGTCACAGGCCTTCAGTGTGTAGCCCAAGACTAAGTTATTTTTCTCTTGTCTCTAGATCAATGTAGCTTATTCATTTTTGAAACAGTATCACATTGCAAGCCCACATCGATAACTGTCTCCTACATATATGCTGTTCTTTACTAAAGACCCTGTCCTATTTTGTAAGTCTACATGATACCATTTTCCCTTGTGCATATCTCGAACTCCTCAGTTCTCTAAATCACTTCTCACTCATTTAAGCCAAGTTCCTCACTTGTGTTTAAATGCTCTCATTTCTCTGTCCTTCACTGCATTTCATTTTTCTTCTAAGATACCCATTCCCAAGCAAACAGTCCTTCTGCTAGCTTGTATCAATCAGATATTTAGTTCATCGTTATGAGCGAGTTTGCTAATATGATTAAGGAATTTCTTATTTCTTCCAGTAGATTGTTATTGATACATTAAAGCAACATGCTAAATGAAGACTCGGGATCCTATTTCTTAGTTTGCTGATGGACAGTTGTGTTTTTGCCCCAGAGTTTGTGGGGCAAACTCTGCCTTCATATGCATCTAACAGAATACCTCAAAGCTACTCATATGTGGGATCATTATGAAATGGCTGTCAATCAAGATGAAATAATATATTGTGATATAAAGTGCATTCATTAAAGTATAAAATCAAAGAGAAGTCAATGATACAATTCCATTCCCTCCTCTGAAGCTTGATTTCACCCAGAGGGATATCGGTTACTTGAATTATTCATAGTCGGTCTAGAGTTAAGGCAATGTGGATGAGCTTGTGTTTAGATGACGGTTTCTGTTCACTTTTCAGAAAATAATGAAACGCCTGATTAAGCGGTATGTACTGAAGGCTCAGGTGGATCGAGAAAATGATGAAGTCAATGAAGGCAAGTGGAGTTTTACAATTGTCACAGATTAGAACATGTTGTGTTTTTTGGTAGTTCCAAAATTACACATAAAAGGTTGGATGAAAGGCTGAGGTTGGATAATATAATGTGGAAAAAGAATGTTCAAGGTCACATGAAGGTGAGCAGTGGTGACTCCAAGCCATCTTTAGGCTGTTAAAATTCTGTCACCATCACCTCCTTTTGTACATGTACTTTACACATGTACTGTAGAATCTGTCTTAATGAAGCCCTGTTCTGCCCCATAGCTCTATCTATCTTGGCTTTACAACATCTAAACTGTTGCCAATATCTAGCCTTGTATTGCTGTAAAACAATTTCTAACTTATCTCCCTGACTGTCCTGAGGACTTCTTTTGAACTTAGAAAGAATATGCATGGCCCTGCTGCTACATAGGAATTGCAAAAAGATAGAAAAGACCTTCTTCTAACACCTCCTGGCTGCTCGCCTCCTGGAAATGCCTTGTAAATGTTGTGATCTACGTGTGGAGAGGAAAGAGACTTGAGAAAATCTTTCCATACATCATTAATATTGGTACCATTACCATAAACAGGATTATTTTCCAATATACTGAATTTTAACTCCATTAATGCTCCGCTGCTATATGCTGCTTTACACACATCATGATCAAGAACACCTAAAGGGATGACTTGTTTGATTCAGCATTACTAACGAGAACATTTTATTCTTTCTAGGAGAACTTAAAGAGATTAAGCAAGATATTTCCAGTCTCCGCTATGAACTTCTAGAGGAAAAGTCACAAGCCACTGGTGAGCTGGCAAGACTAATCCAGCAGCTGAGCGACAAATTTGGGAAGAACTTAAATAAGGACATTTGATGTTGAACAAAGAGAAAGACAACTGGCTTTATAAATGTTATTCAGTCTCAACCAGCATCTTAGGAGGGCAAAACAGTGCAAAAGATGAGTACTGCACACTCGACTTTTGCTAGCTAGCAAGTATTGGTAGGAGCACTTAGCATTACTCCTGCATTTGGTGAATTACCAGTTTAATCCTTTATGACATGGAAGTGACTTACTGGTAAAAATATATGTCCTTTGACATCAGAAATAGATGCACTACTTCCAAAAGATACTCACCCCTACCCTAGTTAGGGAAGGCATCTCTAATCAAAGGCAAAAAAGTCAAATCTTCACCAATCTAGCTGCGCTGAAGGCAACAAAACTGTGCAGATTTATAGCAACTAAGACTGAACTGATCAGAATTGGATGAAGTCTGAAGAAGAAATGTGCCATGCATATTCCTTGAAAAAAAAATTTAAATTCCTGTTCTTAGGTGTGTGCTCCCTTTTTATGTTTACATGGGTATCTGTGAAGCCAACTTCAAACAGAGCTGTGGATAATGGGAAGCAAATGAGAAGTCATCTGCCCGGATGAGCAAAACGGTGTGTCAGGTAGAGGTCATATATTCAATTAGACTGGATGATACAGCTGGAAAAAATGAGCCATGCTCGCTGGGTAAAGAGTCCTGTCATGCTCCTGCTTGAATTTGCTAAAGGGATTCCCAGCCAAAACTTTCTGTCTGTCTTTTCCAGCTGTATTTGCTACTAATAGATATGTTCTCTTCATACAGACTTTGCCTCTATTCCTTAGATGATCCCAGCTTCAACACCAGTGTATTGAGATACTCCCAGTGAAACAAAATTCCCTTCCCAAGAATATCCCCACCAGAAACATTACACATTGTGCTAACTTGGTCAGTTCAAGGAAGAAGAAGAATCCAGCAGCAACCGTGCAACTGAGTTCAGCTTTCAGATTCCAGCAATCCAATAGCAAGCCAGAGGATGAGACACATCCCAAAGAACAAAGTCCAAGGGTTTCAGACCTTTAAATCAATAAGGAAAGTCTGATATTGACAAAAAAAAGGAAAAAATATTAAAGAAATTGTCTTCTGTGTTCAGCTCTTGCAGAGGAACAGAAAGGAATAAAACTGTTTTAAAGGCTGCAGTGATGTGAGCACTCCGATTCAGTCTGTGCAAAACTACTGCAAACATGGATTGCTTTTTTTTCTTTTTAATTTAGCTTCATGATTTTTACTATTTAAAGCACACCTTAATATTTGGGAACCACTAAACCGTAGTGTTTGTTTACAAGATACACCTATAAAATGACCATTGCATTTAGATATCAGCTGAGAAAAAGAAGCAGAACCAGAACGTGACCTGTGATCTGTTCTTAAGTGCCAGATGAGAACACAGATAGCCTAATAGAATAATAGTTATATTTGTAAAAAAATAAACAGAAAACTAAACAAAAAAAGTGTACTGTATGTAGATCTGTTTAGAGAAAAAGCAAAATACTGTATTTTTACCTTTAATAAGATTATCTTGTATACTGTAATATTTTTACCTAAAAATGGAAAAAAATAAAATTACCTCATAATATTTTGTGGTACACTGAGTGAAATATTTGCCTGATCTTTTGCATATTCAGTACATGGATATTTTGCCAGCTTTCTGTGCTGTGCAAACAATGAAATCATTGTATGAAGTATGTTTTCTATAGGGATTCTAAAGCCTGAAAAAGACAAAGAGAAAAAAATGATGTGAAATAAATTTAAAGGCACTACAACTTGAAAATTATAGGTTATATGACCAACGATAGCAGCAAGAATTACTTATTTCCAGTTTTTAATTTGAAATTATTGTGTCCTTATCAGAGCTTTTGTAAAATTATCTTTTACCTAACTGAGACTAGAAATTCAGCTAACCTAGCTTTGTACATGCGTGCCTCTGTTGCTGAGTTTGCAGTCAGAAGTTAAATGAGTAACTTTTTGCTGTAAATTTAGAGGCTTTAGCTGAGGGCAAAGATGAAACTGCTCTTCTCTCTGCATTGCCCTGTCCAGAGAAGTGCTACTTTACAGTGCTCCTGCTCAGTAGCCTTTCCCACAGCTGTTGTTTCCAAGAGTGGGAAATCTGCTGCCTTTGCATTATAGTGCTCACAATGTAATATAATGTTAAAACACTCAGGTGCCAATGTCTGTCAAAGTGAAGAAATGCCTTCAAACGACAGACACTGCATGCTTTGGTTAAAAATTAGCGGTTTGCAAGAATGATAACTAACTGGTTGTCGCTTTGGATTATCTTCCTCTACTTAAATTAAAAAACATTGCTGATTGATAGCAAATATTGACTTTCACCATGAAAAGCATATGGAAAAAACGTCAAGTTTGTTCCTGACAAGGAAAGGATTTGTAGCAGGGATCTATGTGTTTCATTACAGCTCTAAACCTGGTTCTTGATCAAGGCCCTTGCAGTATTTTAACACACTCTAGGAACATAAGCAGAATTTTTCTAGGTAGATCAAGTAATAAGAATACCCATCATTTCCACTTCTGATGATATGGTGCACCAAATTGTATGTGAAAGGTAAGAACTGCTACGATGCCCTTACTTACATTTCGTATATTTATATGCAATTCAACAGATGGCCTGCTCTAAAGTCCAGCAAGGTTCTCCTGATGCTGAATATTGCAATCAATACCTGCACAATTAACACTTACCATGAAGAGCTTTGCTGAATGCCCTATGCAGAGTCATACGTGTGTCCAGCCAGCTGCCACCCACGTATTGAGTGTATAAATGCAGCAATGCAGCCCTGTCCAGGAAGGTAGCTAGCATGCTAATCTGCTTGGAGTGATCTTCTCTGAATGACCACAATATTTTTCTAGGAGTTCAGAAGGAGACTAAAAGAAACAAGGGAAAAATATTAAAATATTACTTAAAAAAAAAAAAGTAATTTCCCACACACACAGTTTTCCATTTGCAATCCATGAACCATCAAGGCATTGAAGCTCCTTGTATAAATATTCAGGGCAAGCAAAACCCCAGTTCATTGGAGGCTTTTTTTTATTTTCATCTGGTCCCAGGAACACACACACACAAGCCGCACAGAACTGATTAATATTCCATCAGCAGAAATGATGTTAAATTTCTTGCATGGTTTATCCTCCAAGCTCTGTTTAGAAGAAATTAAAATTAAAAAGCCTTGCTGAAAGGTCCCTGAGAGAGCTGGGAGAGTTTGAAAAAACAGAGCATGTAGGTCGCAGACATAGAGTGTGCAGGTAACCCAAACACTGTCTCCCACCCCCGGGGAGACACCACAGCAGGCCAATGTCACACAGAGCTGTCTGCCAGTTCAGCTTTAATCCAGTCTAAATAGTTTTGACCTTAAAGTGAGAGAATTTGACCTTAAAGTGAGAGAATTAATATTATTTCTACAATTTCAAGGTTATGAAGGATTTCCCCATATTGACTGTAGATACAGAGCTATGATGTTTTGTGGGAGATGTACTTGAAAGGGGTCAGAGAAAGATTAACTTAACTTAGCCACACAAGGGTTAATATACTTCCAAGAATTGTTCCTGACTCTGCTAGCCTAACTTTTGGCCAGCCAACTAACAAGCAAACTGTAAAAGGGGTAAGGTTTTAACTAGCCCAATATTGGTTCGCTGACCCTCCATATGATCAGTCATTATTCCAAGCCTTGCAAAGACCAAACCAGTGGCTGCTACTAACAGAAATGGGGCTAATAGCACAAAGAATTAACATGTCCTTTTAAATAGCTGCACTGCCAAGTTTTAAATCATAAACCCCTGCTGAGAAAAGGTGCAAATCCCAAAGGAAAGGGGCTGGCCAAGGGCATCGAGTCATCATGATGTTGCTTTCAGCCACCCCAGAAGGGCCTTGCAGCCCACACAGTAGTGGTGATGTTTTACACATAGCTCTGACCTCATGTCTGGGCTGTTTTTGCCCATTATTTTACTGAGAAGTGTTACTGTCCCCAGTTCCCCACAAGACACCATTTTAAAGTGAATAAAAATCAAGAATGGTGTCATGAATAATTGCTTAGAGCATTGCTTACATCCCAATTAGAACTTACAGCACATTAAATTGCCACTGAGGCATAATTTTCAATTAATCTACTAGAGAAATGCACCTCCAGTGAACCCAAACCAACTAACCTAATTTAAAGACACCCAAGATTAAGGAAGACTCACAAGGACAACATGGAAAGCAGTCTATTAGCACAAACACCACGAGACATCTGCAGCATTGACGGGACTTCAAACTTATCCATGAGCTGGTGACAAGTCCTTCCCCTCCTTGACCTGTAGGCTGGACCAGGGCTGTACTGGAGACAGTTCTCATGTGCAGTGACTGAGGGGAGCATCTCAGCAGCATCGCAGGATGGATTATGCCCACAGAGACCTCCATTCATTCGCCCACTGTGAGGAGGAACCTGGAGCATTCTTTATCAAGAAAGACAGAGGTCAATCTATAACCTAGGATGTAAAATCAGATAAAGACCAAGCAGAAAAAATACCCATAGCTTACAGCAAGGGAATGGAGGCGCAGAGAAATTCATGTTAGAGAGCTGGAAGCCGGGCACCAAAACCAGATGCTGGGCTCTTTCTAGCCATTAGCTTCCTCATCTCCCGCTCCCCATCCTTTCTCCTTGTGGGTCACTTCCTCTGCCGAGAGGGATAAGATCTTACAATGCCCAGTGCAAATAGCACAGCAGGAAAGAAGAATCATTGCCTCAGTTATCATATATCATTTTGGGAAGCGATTCCCTAAATTGCTGGAAGGTTTTAATGGGACCATATCAATACTGAGATAAATCTAGATTATATTTTAATTAAAATAAAGCCAAATGGTAAGGGAGATAATGCCCAAAGGGACAAAACAACTAAAGTCATTTGGAATTTCTAATGCTTGTAGTGGAAAGCAAAAGCATTCTCCCACAAGGCCTTTTGAGGGAGATATTTAACACAAACCTGCAGTGTGATAAAGAGGATTTGGAAAGGCTTAAAAGGTTAATGAATAGCTAATAACCTTGTTAATATTTAACTAATATTTACTATAGCACTGACTAATATTTGGTTCTCTTAGTAATTATTAATTATTCTGCTGCAAGGGCTTAATTAGGGCTCACAGTGTAGGTTGGGCTGGTTGTTTCTGGCACTGAGCTGAATTTCCTGTGGGTGCAGCTGACCTTGGTTCTGGGCTCTTCTCTGGCACTTAGCTCGCCACTGGGAGCAGCTTTAGGTCTGTGCACAACAACAGAGCAGTGTGAGCACATAACGAAGAGGAAGAGATCTCCATTTCAGGTCTTTAATCCTTACATA